GTTCTCTAATTGGCATGTTATTTTGCATAGGTCTGCCTCGTTGTTGTTGTTTTAAAATAAATGTTAGTTCATCTTCTGTTAATGTCCAAGATTCAATTTTAAAAGAATAACTTTGTAGTTCTGCTAAAGCTTTAGATAAAGAAGCTTCAGAATCACTACATAAGGATACTTCAATAGATTGTTCAGCACGATCATTAAAATTCATCATATTGAAACGATTGGTTATACAATTTGCTGACAATGATTGATCAGAATTTGAACCTTGACTGTTGTTATCATCATCATCCTCATCATCATCTTCTCCTTGATTTGCTGCATCTTCATATTCTGTCACTTTGGGTTTGTATCTTTCTTTCCTGTCACCTTCTTTGGGATCATCGATTTTCCTTTGACTGGTATTAGCATAGTGCCTACCTCGTGCATTAGGTAAGCCTCTCTTCGGAGTAGTATCACCTTTGTTTCTATCACATAAACGGAACTCTTGTAAAGACGTTCCCACACGATATTTTTTTGAAAATTCTTTTAATATACATCCTTTCCAAGTTGATTCGAGATGCTTTTTTATGTCAAAGGTAATCGATAGATTTTTTTCATAAAGTGTTTCTTTAAGATAAGATTTTATCTTTGTAATTGCAGCATTATTTCCCGACAATTGTAATTTACCGTTTATAATATTTGCGCTATTAATACCTGCTTGTTCTCGAATTGTATTTAGGGTTTTTTGGCCAAAATTTTCAAGGAAATTATTTTTGGCAACGCTCAATTCAATTGTATTTGATAACACTTGATCAATAGGAGCACTAGGCTGCGGTGGAGGGTATCCAGAGGATAGTTTACTAATTTTACCTTCGATTTGTACTCTTGACTTCTTAACGGCTGTTTTCTTTCCATTAATGATTACCATTCCATGAGTTTCGTTCATAATAATGATGACATGCTGGGAACGTTCGAGGTTCGTAACAAATCCTTGAAACTCTGAATTCCGTATTATGTCTATATTAACGTCAAAACTTATTGTTTCCGTCAATTGTGATGAGATTGGATGATCGCCATTATTGTCTGCCATTAAATTCGATTGATCTATAGGAGAAAAACAATTGTTCAAAATCTTAAGAGACAATTCATGAGAGGAACAATAATAGGGATGTGCCGTGACCGAGAGGTTCAAGCTTGTTATATCCCTATTTAAATGGGAATATCGTAGAATATTACGACAAGTTGCCAAGTACAAAAAGTAGCATTTTACTCGTAAGTAAAACTTCATACCATTTTATTACACTTCACGAAATTTTGTGAGATCTTTCAAGATTTCATAAGTCTTCAAGAGACTTGGAAATTTCATGAATATCAAGAAACCTCAAAAAGCACATGAAATTTATTGACATGGAACAAACAATACCTATTATATGGGCATTAAAAAAGAATTTCTCGTTTAAAGTCCTTCCTCGTCGTACACCTGTAATTGAAAATCTGATTCGAGACATCGCAGATATTTTGTGTATTTCATACAGAACTTCATCGTCACATACGATTAATTTTATGTAGTATATGAATATTAAAAGTCTAAAAACATTGTGCTTCACATACCTCTTCGAGTCTTTAGTAAGATGAGTTGTGTGGATACCTTTTTTTATGTTGGGCTAGACGTGTGTATACCTTTATAGTTGCAAACATAAATGTGTCAATAATGGTAAGGCGTAAAAGTTGTGTAACCCTTGCCACGGTGAGAAAGTTTTCTTTTCTTTCCACTAAAAGTCGATTACTTTATCAGAGAAAAATTATAGAATAAAAACAGATAACGTGTTCCTACTTTGAAAATACTCTGTGTGCAATTATTTCACGTTTTCTTCTCCAGATTCCTAATGGAAAATCTTCGATTCAATTACGCAAGAAGTAGCTATTATTCATGCTTAATTTTCACTCGATAAAAGAGATGCAATTTATTACATCGACAATGAATTGCAACTATTTAAGTTTAACAAGTAGAGAATGTCTTTAACAAAAAATTTCTTTTTTTCAGTTGTTCGTTCGTATCTTTTCGCAACAAAGTCAATAAAAATCATGAGATAAAGAAGATTTTCTCTTACTTTGATATCAACAAACGTTGACTTCACTTCCGTAGTATATATCAGGTAGTATACGCTTGAAAATATGAAAAAACAGATTTTATTTAAAACCGTCCTCTGCTTGCTGAAGTTACAGAGTAATAATTCAATTACTCGTTCTAATTTATGCACATAAAGGTATCCGTAGATTCAACCATTTGAGGCCTCAAAAAGTTTGAAAAGCTTTCTTTCTCGCTTCCTTGAAAATCGATCCCCAAAATATTCGAAACTAAGGTCCAATAATCATTGACTAGGTATGTGAAAAAATGCCTTTCCCCGAATCTCGTGCCGTCCCCCTCCTCGGGTGTCTAGAGGGGCGAAAAATCACACTTGCCGTTCTATCTTCGATGGAGTCCTGATTCTTTCCAGATAAACAATTTTCGATGAAAAGAGGGTACTGAGAAATGACTTCGTTCTTTTCTTTGTTTTGTGTCTGCCTGCTAGACCACAGTGTTAGGTACTTTTCATTCCGAAGTGAAGTTCTTTCCATAAGGGAGAAAAAGCGAGATTTCATCTACTTTAAAAATAATTTGGAGTACAGGTGGAGTAAGGGTGGATTCTTGCTTTTTTTCTCCCTTGATAGAACCGAAAGTTGCACAACATATGTGAAAATGAGCTTGGGGGTCCCTAAAGTGGCTGCACGGCAGCTGATACCCCGTCCAAATCGACCCTTTTTGATGGGCAAATATCACTAGTCTCGAACAGTGTTTGAAGAATAAGATTTGATTCATGAATAAAAGATACCATATAAATAGCTGATTGCGTTCAGTTTTCAACGCTCTATTCCCTATCGTATTGCGTTAAATACTTCGTTAATTTATTGCAAGACTAAAGGGCTCAACCTGTCCAAAGCAGTTTTTGATGGTTTTTCATAGAAATTGATGAGCACTCGAAAGTTGTTTGGTGTGTATGTCTCGTAATAAATTGCTCGTTTACACTTCAGATTTTCACTCATCTTATTCGATCGTTCATCGTTCGATTACTAGATTAACAAGCTTCGGTATGGCCACAAAACTGCCAACAACGAAAGAAAGCAGGAACTTTGAAGACTTGGTGACCTGTAAAATATGTCTTAAACATTTTGTTGATCCACGTTTATTGCCTTGCTCGCACACATATTGTTTTGGATGTATATGCAAAGCAGCTTCGTACACCAATGGGGATTTCATGTGTCCTCTGAAGGATGGAACTACAGTTCAGCAAAATCAGATTAATTCATTACGACTGAATCATGCCATGGCTGAGGTGGTTAAAATGGTATTTGATGATTACAAACAGAATAATAGTAAGCACTGAAGTGACAGAAAAAATTTCGAAATACGGGCTCGACATTGACTCTGTGGCAGTCGTTATACAATCCTACCTAAGTGAAAGGCTCACAAAATATAATTGTTTTCATTGGTGTTCTAGATCCTCCGAGTAATTCTGGTGGTAACCGACAAAGATTCAAAGAAAATATGATATTGGTCAGTGGTTTACCATTGGACATATCTGAAGAACATCTACTCGATAAATTGTGGAAAGTATTTTCAACTGTCGGTAACATTAAAGTAATAGCAAGGACAAATTCTACCAAACATACGCTAAATTCGATTGTTTCGCGTTTAGATTAACCAAGAAACAAAGGGAGCCTCTATAGATTTATTTAGAAAAATAGATAACAAACCGCCATTGAATGGCACGGCAACAATCACATTTGAACGAGAAGAATCGGTAGTGAAAGCAATTGAAAAATATAATGGTGAGCTCGAGTAGAAACCAGGGGATGATGAACAGAACATATTATGTATATTTCAGGAAAATGTGTACCGATCTTAAACAATAATCAAATTTATGTCAAGAAATCAGAAGTAACAACTGGAGGTAACTATGCAACCGGTAGAATTTTTTCTAGACCAGTACCGGTACTGTTCGAACCCAGCCAGATCGGACTGGCACGGCATGAATCATTGTTGATTTTTCTGATCTTATATGAGTCATCATTGATTTTTCTCGTCTAATATCAGTCATATCAAACTCTGAATCGCTACCCTAATTATTTAAGACTTCTCTTTTATCACTAAGGAACCTTCCTGTGACATGATTGTAGATAAAAACTGAATAATCGAACAAGAAACTTAATCCTATCTCCCTAGTTGACTCCAAAAATTCTAGAAAATCTATCTCTTGATACTTTCTTGATCTGACCACAGAGATTTCGATGTTTAAAACGATTTGATAGTTTTACTGTAATCATAGATGAAAACGGTCTACTTTTTCGACGATCGGCCGGTCTACTAATAAAATAACGGCTTGCTGACAATGGATCAGTTGTCAAAATGAAATACTGCCTAAAACGCACTTTATCGTTCCGCCAATAACAACTTTGCATTAGTGTTTGCGATAAAAGCAGAAAAATTGAGATTGCTATTAGACTGGTTTCATCGATGCCCCTCACCTACCATTTTTCTGGCTACACTTCTACTAAAGCGAAAGTTAACAGGTATACCTTTCATCAGTTGACATTCTGTTCCTATATTTTAGGACTAGTACACCCTTCTCCCAATTCAACTGAATTAAAGGTTTGGGTGAAAATTGAAAAAAGACTGGCCAGAAAAGAAGAATTTACTTGCACTATCGACATTGACGATCTAAAAAAAAGGGTATTCAAAGAGCAAAATGACAGAGATTTATACGAAGCCTATTATCGCAATCAACCATTGGGGCCTGGAGAAAGAGTTCCATCGGGCACGACCAGTGATCAACCGATCGTATTACGGAATATTAAACCTCAGCCACCAGAGCCTGGCGGTAAGTTTTTACTGTGACTACATACTACAATAAAAGTTGTTGTTAACTTTATAGGTCCGTCTCCTGTCACGCCAAAGCCGGTACGTAAACGTTCGAACGATTGATTATATGTGTTTTGTTTATTTCCTGAAAACACCTTTAGATGTAGACGTGAAAGATATAAGATTTTCTTGAATATGAAAAACATTATCTCTTGAATACTTCATAAGGCATGAATATTCTGGGAAATTTTCAAAGTTACTGCACCAGCCTTTATGACAACTTTTTCTAATACGATGCTACATGTGTATGCACTCTCAGTCTTTAGTATGTGTCATATACTGAATATCTCTTTTTTATCTCTAACGCTTTCATTTTAAACGCCTTTTCAGAAAATCTATGAGACACATCACCTGATTATTATTCAGCATTAGTTGTAGGTAGGGGTGGCACTTTAACTTTAAAACACTTTAAAAACAGTATTAAAGTAGAACACTAAAATTTGATACTTTAATATCAAAATTAAAGTACTTTAACTTTAATTTTAACGTTTAAAGTTGCAGTTGAACTATTAGAGAATTGATCACTAAGCGCTAAAAATTATTTGTCACTTTACCCCTGTTTTTTATAAAGTTAAAATGTTAAAGTGTTTTGTTTAATTAAAGTTTAAAGTGTCTTACTTTAATTAAAGTTAAAGTTTTAAAGTGTTTTAGTTTAACTTTAATGTTTAAAGTATAGTTAAAGTGCCACCCCTAGTTGTAGGAAGGATTTTTGTAATTGCAGAAAGGATACTTACATGCCTATCTGAATGCAGAATGGTTGAAATAAACAAATCCACACCACGGATATAAATTCAGTACTATTCCCATGTTATGGAAATCGCTTAAGATGTATCGATTTATAGGACGTATAGTATCATGGGGAATTGCCCAAATCAACGATTTTTACAAAAACATCGCGATTATACAAACAATAATTCCACTTGTCGAACCCATTCCTATTGCCATGATTTGGGGCTATGATTGTATATCGACGGGTGATGGTAGCGTCTGTATAAGCATCGTCACCATAGCATTATCATCGATTTCTACCAGATGGTGATAAACATAATTTCTTCTCATCTATCCTAAAATACAAAAAACCTTCTTCAATTTCATAAAGTAAAACTCACTTTTAATTTTGCTTCCGAAACAATCTATAAATAAAATAAAAACGCATTATTTTATATTTTTTCAGTTTTGACATTAGATTAATGTGGATAAAAGCAAAATTTACTTTTTGTTTCGATGTTAACAATAATCTATTTATGCGAAAAAGAAATTTTCATAGATTAAAACGTACTTTTCACAATGTAGTCGAAATTGATTCTAACAGAAGAAGAAAATTATTCTTATGAATGAACAGAATTTGTTGTAAAATCGTCATTTAATCGCGATTTTAGCAACATGGGAGCTTACATGGCAAGGTCTGATCTAGTTGAATAATTCCTCAGATTCGAACTAGAACTGAACTTTTACGATCCTCATATTCATTGTCCGTGTAATGTAATCATAGAAAGTCCGTTATTTTTTCCAGTCTTTCTAACATCAAAAGAGACACATGTAAAGAACTTATCTCGCGCAATCCCTGTGACATTCAAATATGAAACATCATATAACTATGGATATTGTAAAATAGCATATATTTGTGAAAAAAATGACAGGTTTTCCTTTAGAATATTTGAAAAACGTAGATTAAAGCTATTAATGTATTTTGATTAATTACGATACCTAATAATAATAGGAAGTTTATTCAGTCTGTATGTCCCGGTCTGTGGGGGAGGAGTGAGATTTAATGTCTACCATTAAACACTTCAACACTCATTTAACACTGGGTTTTATAAAGGATAGAGCAGAAAATAACGTAGCAGCGTAAAACTCGAAAAGTCGATTCAATTTGATAACTTGTATTCGAACTTTAGACTGAGTGGCTGATCAAGTATTAGAACTTTGAATTGTGTATTTATCATCCATTGAGAACTTCCAGTGACATAAAATGTCTTCACTCTCATGTGTCGTGCTCTGATTTTGAAGATCTTTACTGTAACCCCCCCCCCCAGATTTGGAAGCCATGGCTTTCTATTACGATTGAATAAATCGTCCTTTTTTTAGTGGCGTTCTATTCCGGGTGCCTTTCTATTATAGGGTGGCGTTCAATTCTGGGGGGGGGGGTTTAGTCGAAGTTCTCGACTTTTACATATATGGTTCACTTTGTGTCAGTTGAATAAAACTCCAAATATTCAGAAGCTTTCTAGACAATCGACTTGCGAATCGAAGATTCTATGCTAAAATATAAGTAATGAAAGAAAGTTTTTGGAATAAAATAGATGAATAACATAATTTTACCCACCTTCTGAAGTATTATCTGCTTGATGATGAATATCATCAAAATATCAAACAAAAGCATACGTCCACTGATGTTGACATGAGTCTTTGTAGATGTCGAAATTGACTCTTCACTTCGTTAAATGATATATTTATTAACTAACAACTTTTAAAATTTTGGATATTTCTGTTTTAGAAATTTCTTATTTAGAGATATTCCCAGAGTTCCATTTTTTCTTTTAACTTTTGTGGAAGTCACGTATATTTTTCGAAGAAAATAGTGAGCGGAAATTTTAAGTCGAGTCTTTTGCCCCCCCCCCTTTCTTACAGACCATAGCAACGAAGATTAAAGGTATTGATGTGCGCTGTCATGGTAACGAAGCGGGGGGGGGGATAAAATGAAGATCTTTACATAAGTTATCCTAAGTCGCGGGGAGGAGTTGAAGGGCGCAATCCAGACTGCTACCGATTTTCCTCAGGAACGAAGGGGAAAGAAGTAAGAGCATTTAGAGTGCTTTCTATGAAGATATGCGATTTCCATATTTTAGCCCCAGAAGAACTGCGTTGACAAGTTTTTAAATATATGTTCTTTAGGTGTCTGCTCCAGAGCCATTTGTATCAACAGACTATCATATTATTGTTGATTGTTCAAATATATTCATTGGCTCTCAAACAATCCGTGATCCAACAACTGGAGCAACTCAAAAAAATCCAGCTATTCGTGTAAATGTTAAGAATCTTGTTAGAGTAGTTGAAAATGATAAATTAAAGATATATATTAAAACACGTATTGCTGGTGGAAGTAAACCACCAGAAAATTTGCCGGTTTGGAAAGAATGGGCATCTTGTGGTTATAAATGCATAGTGATTGAGCGTTCAGTGAGTGGCCCAGTGAGTCATATTATAGATCGCCGTCACCCTAAAATGACTTTTTCGTTTTTTTCTAGGAAGATGGTGTGGACGAGATGTTGCATGCTCAAATTTTACAACTCCTTCATATTTATAAAGATACTCAGACTAGATCACAAGTTCTTGTTTTGGTTACTGGCGATGGAAATATAAACGGGGGGCGAACAAGTTTTCTTCAGTCTGTAGAGAGTGTATTGACAAGTAATTGGAGTGTGGAACTTTGGTCATGGGAACGATCATTGAGCCAACATTTTTTAAGTACTCAGAGATTCTTTCCAAGTCGAATGACAATTAAATATTTAGATTCTTATAGAAACGATATTACATTTATACAAAAACCCAGAGAAAACTGAAGACGGAGCATTCTTTAAATGATTTCTGTAAAAGATGGCAAAGAAGAATAACTGATTTGTGTGATTTGTGTGATTTTCGTATTTTCCTCGCTTTTAAAATTTTTCTTACTATCAGCTGTGTCAATGGGTGTGTTACTACATCAATTTCTAACGTGTACGTTTCAATAAAAATTATAATTCTGTCTAGAAAAGTCGTAGAAGGCTGATATTTATTTTGTAAATAGTAGTAAAGATCTACTCTGTATCCTAAAAGTTTCAGACCAGAATCTTCTTTCCTTCAGGAGATACATCACTTTCTGTACACAAAAGTTTGCATAAGCCAAAAAGTGCGTTAAATGATGTTTTTCTTTTTGAAAGTGTTGTGTTTACATTGAGGGTGGTAAAGTAACCTTAAAAAAAATGAAGTTGAACTCAATTTTCAATTTAAACTTAAACTTAACTTTATCATTCATAATTTACATTCTCTTGATGTTTCTAGACGTAATTATATTCTCCTTATTCCATCGCATAGTCATGTACGACGTTAAAGGGTTTTTACTCCACTTTTATTGAATAAAATAAGAAAACTGAATAGCACAATTACTTCTCTTTTCTCAGAATTCAATGAAAGTGATAACGTTTGAAAATGTGTTTTAGACACAGTACGTTGTCACAGAACGCGCATTGATAAAGGAAGTCGACTTTGTACACCTTTGTGAGTGACAGTGACTGCTATCGAAGGAGAAGCAGATCTGCTTTACATTTTTCAAAGCACCTGGACTAGTCTTCAAATAATCAGACTGATATCAGATGTATTTGATCATCGAGTAAAACTTCGGAGATGATATCTGATTGTAGACCAGTGAATTCATCTTGATGGTGTTATTTCTCTGTGCCAAGTGAACATTTCAGGCGTACATCAGCACATGATAGTGAATTTTATGAGCTAGATATTTGTATTGACGATTGTAGTACACGTCACGCGTCTGAATCATCGACGGCGCCTTCTTCAGAATTTCTAAACGTTTCAAGTGCTTCAGTTCGACGTACAGATTTCCATTGTGCTGACCGTCCGAGTAGTCCGTTTACCTGACTTACTGCAAGTGACTACAACATTTGTAACAAGGAAAACGTTTCTCTTAATATTGAGGTTGGGGGTGGAAAGCTCTTTGTCTACTCACACCCATACCCTGCACTCATGATTTATTTAGAGCTCAACCAACATATTGGGTATATTATTTTCTTTATGTTCTACAGCATTATTGATTTATACGTTAGTTATCATATTTAGTGATCTTACAATATTATGCAGTGATATATTAACTAAACTATTTCTTTATTGATTTAGTATTATTATTCTGTTATGTTATTATTTCATTAAATATTATTGATCACAAATTTTCATCACATATTCAATATTCATGAATCATATCCAAAAATCAACGTCGTAGCAAAAATAAAGAAGATTAATTCTGCATATGATACACCTTATCAATATGATATTTATTTTATTATTATGTGCACCACTATACAAGAAGTCGAACACTTGATCCAATTTGCTCAGCAAACTAACCACTTTTCATTTTTGATACTGAATCAGATTATTTCACTAATACAAATATTTCTCATGTATGATATACATACAATTTCATCATTATTATTTGTTGAAACACAGTTTCTTCCAGATGAAACATCATTTTATTTTTATAAATTACAAGAATATTACTTTCATCTAGATATATTGCGAAATGATACGCATATGTATTTATTGTTGGGATGCTGTTATTCCTGAACAAACACCATGTTTACGTTTTAATCTTTTATTCATTTCCTATAAAATCGTTTATACATAATTCGCAAAGTGTACTTAGGACGTGGTTTGCTGATTGGCTTAATTTTTATACGTGTCATAGGGAAATTATTATACATATGATTGCCTCTCGTTGACTCAACTCATGGTATTTATGCATCAAGATGTATTCAATATTGTGCTATGTCAGACAAGTATATTCTAATTCGAGATAAAAATGTCTCTGATTTTTTTCTCAAGACAAATCGGCCAACTGATCCGCATGTTATTCATAAGTGTCCAGTTATGATAATGGCTGTTCATGAAGTGGATGAACACTGTCATATTTTTATTCTCGGTATTCATTTGATTAATCTAGTCTTCTTCATCGGCGCAATCATTACATTTGTGAAATTATTCTTCTCGTCAATATTAACATTAATTCAGTTAAAAATATTATACGAACACTTCTTACCATAAGAAATCTTCGCATAATTTTTTGTGTTGAGGGAGATGCCAGAATTACCATCTATATGATGTATATAGATGAACGATCCTTCGTTTTGTTGTTATTTTTTGTGAAAGCTTAAGCTACTTATTTAAATAAAGTCAAGATCTATAACGTAACCTAACAAATATCTGTTTGAGAAAGAAAAGTAATTATATCTACCTAAGATGGATAATCTATTTAAAAAAAAATGTGTTGTTAATTAAAATCACATCTTTTTTGAATAGATCCTCCGTCTTAGATTGAGTTAATTCCTCTTCTTTCTCAAACAAATCTTTATCCCAGTATTTACTGGAAGTCTTATTATAGATTGTGGCAGAGTGAATGTCACCAAGCTTTTATAAGAGAAAACATTGTGCATTCAACAACGAAAGAACAGGAAATGAGCAATGGCCGATCCACTAGCTTCACTCGCTGCTACAATTGTACGAGTGCTCATACCTCCAACTATGGTAGTTGGAGTTGTTGGGAACTCGCTGAATATTGCCGTGCTCACAAGAGCTAAACTTTACCATCACGCCTGCTCTCGTTATTTTCTTGCTCAGTCTATCGACAATCTCTTATTTTCGATTGTCGTGCTCACTTTTCGTCTCTTGGCTTTCGGGTACTCGAACGATCCATCGACTATCTGCCTTTATTGTTGTAAATCCATACAATATGTCATAGGTGTAATCATTGTTGTGTCACCTCAATTAGTTATACTCGCTTCAGTCGATCGATTTTGCGCAAGTTCATTCGATGCTGGAAAACGAAAATTCAGCAATGTTACTGTAGCACGTTGGGCAATTACAATTGTCGTGATCGTATTCACAATTTTCTACTTTAGCACATTTATTTTGATGGATTTACAGATAGGTGCAACAGTTACCTGTAGTATTCGCGTCACTACACTTTACAGCCGCGTGTATCCAATTATGCAAGCATTACTAGTAGGCGTTATTCCACCGATTTTGATGTCAATATTTGGTTTTATGACCATATATAATACCAAGCAAGTTCGTGCCTTTCCTGATTCTACCTCGTCTTTTCGTCGTACCGAAGGTCAGCTTATTCGTATGCTTCTTCTTCTAGTGAGCTCTTACTTCATTCTTTGTGCACCATTTGCCACAATTTATATTATGGGATTTTTGCCTGTTCAAGTCTTCAGCTTATCTACATACTACTTTATTTACAAAATTACAGCGCTACCATATTATCTTACTTATACTACGACCTTTGCTCTTTACATCCTTTCCGGCAGCATCTACCGAAATAAAACTGTCCGATTCATGAGAAAATTGTTTCGACTCCGATGTAAAATTGAAGTCCGTCCGATATTTGATGATCATACTAATCAAATATCATTACATGGTACGACTCGCATAATGAGTAGACAGATTCATACAACAGCTCCCGGACAGATAATAGAATGTGGTTGAACGACTGTAATTCTGAATAATACAAGTAGATACAGTAATAGACCTCTCTATGCTTATTGCCCCTCATAAATAAATGCAAATTTATTCGTTCCAATATATTGATTAACCTTTGAGAAGTTGGTCTTGTAGATTACTAAGTTTTATCTAGACTATAGTTGAGTTTTTGGATGCACTCTGATGAAAGATTAAAAACACACGAACTTGTTTGATTATCAAGCTTTAAAGCACCATTCATTAATGTAGAGTTTTTGCTGAATAAGTATCGTGTGGCATTCATATTTTCTGTATACTTTCCACTGATGATAATTCGGCAATGGCCAGTGGATTTTCTTGAATATTGTTTAAATAATTTTGTAATTCTTTCAGGTTCGATCAAAATCTCAATTTGCTCATATTTTTTCAAATGATGACATAATCATTATATTTTTTCTTTTATTTTCTCAAATCATTCATGTTTATCATTGGATTAGATTGCAGTTATTCATGTTATTTGATTCAAGATTCATTGCTTTGTGAAAATTAAAAGTTTAATGTGTCTAGAGAGTCATTTTTTGGTAACTAAGATCTATTCGCTTCAATGAAAACTTATAAAAAGTTCTTCTTCTAATGGATGAATATTCGGGTGTGCGTGTCGTTGTATATAAACAAAGACCTTAACCTTTATTCACATTCGTAGGTACAATCACACGCACACACATACCCTACTTTGCTGTTTTTTTTTCTTGTAACTTTTTTCTGGTGCAATACTTTATGGAATTGTTTTTTTATGTCTTTTTCTTTGAATTTCATTTCCAATGTAATTTTTCTATTGTAATATTTTTTTCGATTTTAACAATAAACTTGTATTTATATTCTCTGGCTTTTTCCTTTTCTTTGAAGAGATAGACAGAGTGAATGTCTCGCTTAGAGAATAATAAGAAAAACAAAGAAAATTTCTTTCGCATCTATTTCAAAGCAGAACATGAAAAAGAACAATTTACTAGTCTATTCGAGCGAAAATCTTTGGACACGATTATTCGCATTATCGACGACGTAGAGATTACCATATTGATCGAAAGCCAAACCGCGAAGGTAGAGGAACTGATTTGCACCCGCTCTCCAGTCATTTCCACCCACAATTACAGTGCCTTGTTTGGCTCCTTGAGCCCAACGCATGACACGATGATTGTTCGAGTCTGCCACATAGAGTGTACCGAGCATATCAACGAAGAGTCCGTTCGGATACGACAATTGTGTCATCGAATTCCCTTGACCTTGACCTCCAGCGACGACAATGCCTTCTTGTGCACCTTTAACCCATTTCATTACACGATGATTCTCGTAGTCTGTCACATAGACATTCTGTTGTCGATCGATAAAGAGATATCTCGGCTCGTTGAGTTGATCAAGACCATCACCTTTGCTATTACTACCAGCAACACGAGTGCCCATTGTTTATTCCCAATGGATATCGTCTTACTTCATGTTTTGCAGCATCAGAGACGTAGAGATATTTCTGATCATCCATAGCCAATCCATAACACTTAACGTTTTCGATGAGTATTTCTCCTTGTGTTGTATCACTACGACGAAGCCACCGCACAACCCGGCAATTCCCGTAATCACAAATAATGAGACTATCCGACTCTTTGTCGACCAATACATCTGTAGGCCAAGCTAGCTGATTCAATTGATTTTCTTGGCCATTGCCACCAGCAACGATTTGCCCATGCGTCGTGTCATCTTTCTTCCATTGGATGATACGATGATTCTCGTTATCAGCAATGATAACTGTTTGATCACCATCTACAAAGAGACCATGTGGGTAGTAGAGTTGATTCGCCACATTGCCTGCCCAGTTGCCTCCAGCAACAGTTACACCATTCTGTATCCATTTGGCATTAGCAGGGATATTGGGTATCGCTTCAAGAAAAGAAGACATCGAGCTGTGAAAAGAACTTTCGAGACATCTTTTGTAATCCCGTGGTATGACATATATTAGTAACAGTACTAAGATCAGCTAATTTTGAAAATAGGAATAATTCCTTCTAGATCTTTTAGGAATTTACGAAAATTCTTTCTAATAATCGTTCGAAAACCGTAAGAAGGTTATAGAATTTGAAGGAGACAAGCTATGAATTGAATGAAATTCGAAATTTCTGACAATCATTGTTTGGCTAGAGGTGTAACATTTTTTCCTTACTAGTTGACCTCGGATTACGAGTTTTTGAAAAAGTAGGAATTTGCATAGGATCAAACATTTTGTAAAATACAGGAAAGGGCATAAAAATGAAGAAAATATAGGAGATTGAAAACTCGGTGGTTTGACTCATGCTACATTTTTTTTTCATTTTTCTAAGTCAACTTAACATGGGCACTGGAGTTTCGTTAAGATTATAAGTATTACTTCTTTTTGCAAATAAATGAAATGAGACAGACATAACAAAATTCAATCGAAATATGTTCATTTAACTACATATTATAACACATTAATACAAAATACATCATGGCATGGGTGCATGTAACGGTTCGTCTTCCCTTTGCACTCTAGAGATGGAACTGGTCTACCGGCAGACCAGTCGATCTTAAATCTGTACTGACACTGATTCCATCTCTGTTACATGCACACCCACATCCTCACTTACCAGAAATATTATTATTCATTGATGCTGTTGTAGTCAATTGCATTTGAGTCATAGCGGATGCTAATGGTTCAGCGTTGTTATTATCAATTTCAATTAAATGTACAACATATGAACCATTCGATTGATCCAATGGATCACTTTTTACACGAAATTTGGTACCCATCCGTAAAATAACTTCATCTTCAGATTCATATGCTGAATATCCAGAAACCTTTTTTCCATTAATAGCTTCGATTAAGAATAGGGTTGACGTTTTGCTATTGTCAAGAAAAGTCTTAATAACGTTCGACGATGATGAACATGAATTCACACTCCACCATGTCACAATTTGATTTTTGGTGTAATTCTTACCAATATCAATAGGTACACCTCGCCATACTGCTTCTTTGACCGTAGGTAGCTTATCCAATGCTGTATCAAATAGTTTCAAGTACGGAAACCATATCTTTAATGCTTGTCGATCTTCTGATCGTAATGCTTTATTTAATAAACGATACAATGTAGTATCACCCCATTCCATTGTATAGATATAGATAGCAGCTGATTGATCTTGTGTTAGTCCATGTTCTGATGGAAAATGACAGTGTTTTTTAGCATGTTCTATGTAATATGGTAATTCATCAATGTGTGGTAAGATAGGTTCTAATGCTTTTTCAATAGGAACAAGTTTTTCACTACGATAACCATAAACAGGTGGGAGTGTTTTATTTGAAACATCAATATCACCAAAACGATTCATTCTGCCAATGTTTTATTTGCTGTTAAACGTTGATGAAAAAAATGAATGTTACAGATCCGAAGCAATTAATAGCAAATACTATATCTAGAATACGCTGTTTAAAATAAATATGCTATCAATATATTATTTTTCGATGCAATTGAAATAGTAGAAAAATGAGTTGGTTATTTATTTTTAATATTTTATTAGTGAGAAGAATTTGTGGTCAAGTCACCTGTATAAAAATAATACCCTTTTTTATGGGAATCATTTAGCTATAAATATGAATTCAGTGTGCACCTTGGTGAAATCGTATGGTGGTATAGCTAATCTGTGGTGATACTTTTCGGGAGTATTTAAAAAAATTTTTGAAACCATCCATAAGCGGTGATGCGATGGGTATTTTGACCACTCGAATTCCCATCTTCCAATGGGTCGAGTGGTCGAAACTTATCGAGTAAATGCTGAGGAGAATATTAGAACATGGGTATACTTACGTTTAATAGTCGTTGAACATCTAAACTAAATATGAACTATGTTTCTTCGATGAAAATTATCTTTTCAATGCTAAGAAGAATAGTACTTAGAGTATTTGAATATTTACGCGAAGTTTCCGAATATTACGAAAGAGGTTAAAATGGAAAAAATATTCTTCTGATATGTGTCTAACTAATAAATCAGCTTTTCTTCAAGTTTCAGATGTCGTATAAGTAGCTCATTTAACAAATAATTTAATTTTGTGATAGAATGTAAAGTTAATATTTTTATATATTTTATCAGACGTTCATAACACAATAGTCGTTCTGAATTTATTGTTGAGCAAACATTATTTATAATTTTGAATAACTTTCACAGAAGAGAAATGAAGTTTATCACTGCAAGCTATCATTTTCGCAGGTTTTGGTCTGCCCGAGCTCTCTGTATCACTCTTCCGATAGGTTTCTTTTTCTCGAATACTCGAAACTCCGATGCCTTTTGAGGGGCTCGAAACCGAAACAGAACGAACAAAAATGATATAGTTTACATTTGTGAGCACTCGTCACATCAATCGCACGCTTTTTACTGTCTGCTTTGATCGGCTTTTCATTTAAGGCATGAAGTACACTCACTCATAATCATAGTTTTCTCTCAATGACCCCAATCAAAAATGGTAAAATCCAATAGAAGATGAAATTCTCTAGTCTATACAACCTAATGTAGATCTAACACTGGTAAGGGAGCTAATCGAAGCTGAAAATATTCAAATATCGTGCTATAACTTTACTTACGTACAAAATTGGTTTGCAATTTTATTAACATATGATGTATTTGATGTATAACTTATATACTTTTAAGTTTTGACAACGTATTATTTCATGCTGTATCACCGTATTTAACTCACTTGACTATCGATGTATAGAATTAGCAAAAACATAATAGTAACAGTCAGATTAAAGAAAACAGATCATAAATGCTTAATATGTTTATTTCCAAAAAAGCAATCGGCATTTTAATGTTCACGTAGCAATTGAATATAAACGAATAGTTGAATTCGGTTAAATAAGCGAGTCACAAAGATCTGATATTATACACAATAGTTCAATGTCGACAGAAAGATACTATTCTTGCAGCATGTAGTACATTAGTATATATAGAAAATTCATCAAGCAGTAAACATGGCTGACGGGAAAAGTGATCAACAAAAGCGACACATTACAATATTTTCATACTGCATAACGCATTTCACAGTTTTTATGAAACCTCAATAGATTATAACTTCTTTTTTAAGGAAATTATCTACCTTAAGACTGGAATCATACAGAGATAGACTATCAGCTATACCTTAGCGCTAACTATTATTCTTAAAAGTAATTTATTTTATTTTTAGAATTATTCTATTAACTTACTAACAACATTACTTTTCTTGGAAAAAATTCCCATCGCTTACACTGTCTGCTGTTTTTAAACTGGCGTATCCTTGGAATATTTTAGTACTATAACGCTTTCTGTGTAATTTACTATCCTTTTCTTATTTTTTTCTTTTTACAATATTCTCCTGCATGCACTTCAATTAGAAACGGTTGCACACAGCAACAGTAAAATGGCTAATGGAAGTAGTGATGACAGAAAGAGAAAAAACTATAGTTTATCAATGAAAATATTTCAACTCTCAGTATACACAGATTGAATTGACTACTGTTAGACTAGAGACAGTCAGGATTGTTCAGTGATGTGATTATCAGCAGTTAAAATACTAGCGTTTGAGTCAACTTATTGTCTTTTTTATGTAGATTTTTTCACTCGAGCTTACAAAAGTCGATTGATAATCAACCGTCACATCAATAATAATTTGTAGAAATATCGATTTACAGATAATTTATTGTAAATTTAACTGTTTTATAATTTCAAATTGAATAATCGTTTGGATGGAAATAAATCATCACTATCAGAAAAATACATGGCTTTAACAATAATATTTTAGTTTAACATTTGTTGATAATAAACCAACTTTCTTTACAGATTATGAATGATAAGTCACAATTCATCTTCCAAACACCGAGATAGTCATAAGCACACATTTATTATCATGATTATTAGATGAATGACTAGCTCTAACTCTACAAAGCAAGACAAATATTAGCTTGTGACTTGAAATATTAACAATACTATCAAAACCTATGTAAATCAAATTCTCGGTTCAATGTATTTTTTTACACTTGAAGCCGTCAACCCTAGTTGTAAGGTGCGAGTTTGGGTAGCATTGTGAATATGGATGTGGATATTATCTTCGTTCACCCACACCCTTTATGACTTACTAAGAACATATATAGCTTATCGAAAATAGGATCTGAACCCTAAACAATAATTTGGTAGCTGTTCTTCGATTTTATGAAGTCATAAAGATCTTAAATTTTATTTATCTTAATATTGATATTTTTTCTAATCTTGAAGTGCATATATGCATGCTGTGATTTTTATTTCTATCCTATCTGATGATGACTGTCTAAGCAACAGTCTAAGCGTCCCGTATGGAGGTTGAAATCATTGACTTTGAAATACATCTACAGTATACCCGCATCCCCCCCCCTCACCTGTTAGAATACGAGAAAGAGAAAAAATAACTTACAATTTTCTTGCGTTTGAATATTGAATTAATTCCACCTTCACTGTAAATAAGCTGCAGAGTAGCTCAATTGAAACCTACCTGCTGCTTTTCTTCAGTGGTGATTTAAACAGGACAAAAAATTGCCTGTTCTGTCATTAACAGTATCACATATTCCGGAAGCCGAAGAATATACTAACATACAGGAATGTGTACACAACCACATCTCATGATTCTGATCAGATTTACGAAATCAAGAAAGAAGATACACCGAATCCCGCTGATATATATTTGAAGATACGAGGTTTAAATACATATAGCTGCTATCATGAACTCGTCTGTTGATAGTTAGTTCGTCATCTCCTGCATCTCTCTGAAATTCTCCATCATCCGCGATTTCCTGGTTATTTCACACCTCTCTAATTACACTAAACACGATCACACTGAATCACATGGGTGTGGGTGTGGGGACGTATGACTTTGAATGTGTTTATATATCTTTTTTAAATAACTCACGGTCTTGGACTTATCTAAGTTTCCCCTACAATCATAGCTTTGTCTTCCCCTTGCTTTTAGTAGAAGACCTCCACTAAAATCAGTGGTGTCGCGACAACAGCTCACTATTATGTGATTTTTCAATAGAGGCAGTTGCTGAATAAATTAAAAAATCGTTGTGTAGACTGTTTCATAATTATGTTCTTGTTTATTCTACGAGTTGATTCAAGGCACTATAGATCCAATCATCTTTTGAAAAGAAACTTCAATGGTTTTTTGTGAACAAAAAGAACTGATTATTTAGAAAAAGATGTGTAGTATGAAATAAGCGAAACAATCGCAATTCGTTTGCTGTATTTCTTACTTTGTATAAAACATAACTAAATATTTTGCCTTTGGTTTCAAGTCATGATATCGCAAGTTAGCATTTGGGACGAAAATAAAATTTCACCAGAAAAGAACACTTGTATAAAAACAAATGAGTGGCATATCGATAGAAAAGGAGCATCGTACAAGTAATATATGTTTTTCTCTCTCTCCTTTTCTAATTCTAATCATATACTTTTATCTTTTTACAGAAGTCTATACTCTGGACGCACAACCTTTCTATCGATGGCCCTTGTTGGAGCACTGTTGGCAGGGATCGGTCTGGCGGTAGTGTTGACACTTTATTTGCAAACGCCATCTAATCAAAGTAAATATAGTGTTTCAGTATCTCAATGGAATTTTACGTTGTTTCTACTACCAGAGAAGTAGATTAGGGTGTGGGTGTGTTAGAACAATTCTATCATCTATACTCACACTCAATACTTAATTTAGATTCTTTTTCAAAGAAGAAATGATAGCTACATCATGTTTGACATTTTTTTTTCACCAAAGCAGTGTACCAGATGCTTTTATTTTAGCTTCAACATTAACGATAATAGAAAGTTCATCAATGATGCGAACTATGTATTGACTTGTTAAATAAATCAAGAGTTTGAAGATGCGAAAATAATAATGGAATAGCATCATCATTGGCATCGACAACATTATCAATATCATCAACGTCAACAACGTCGACAACATCATCAACGGCAACAACGGCAACAACGGCAACAACATCGACGACATCGACGACTACTACTACCGGTAGGTAATAGACTAAATAGTCAATCTAAGTCAAAGTTGCATTTCATACAGCTCGAAAAGTATAGGAACGTCATACCAGCAAACGAAACACATCTATTCACGTGCAGTCGTATCAAAGTGACTTGTTTGCAGTTTTTCGATCTATTTCATGCATTGTCAGTGACTTTTAGTTTTTTAGAGCGTGGGTGTGGGTGTGCTTTTACATTTATCCGCACCCACACCCTAGTTCTATAATAAACGAAAAAGGCACACCAATAACTATTGCACTACGTAGGTGCTACCATTCACATCTTTCTGCGCTCACATCCACATCCTAATGAATGACTGTTGCTATTTTAGATGTCAACTGTCATACATGCTCTGCGTCAAGCTACAGTGGATCCTGTAACTCTTGTACCACTACGAGCAATGGTTGTGTCATCACTTGCCTCTGCAATCCGCAATCGGGGTCAGCCATCAACACATCAATAACGCTTTCGACGGGGGCGGGAAACGGTTGCACACTTGATAATGCCAATGGTCAACTAGTCTGCTCTAGTTGGTGCGCTTGAGCTGAATTCTGTTTTTAATTCTTATAACATGATAATATACGATCCATAACCAAGAAAAGTTTTCATTTTCATATCTATCATTCTCGTTTTTCACCAGGTTTTCCTGAGATGTCATATCAGCTAAGTTCGATTTCGTCATATCTTCATATAGACGGCATGGAATGCGATTTTACTTTTTTTTGGGGGGGGGCTGTGTGCAGTTATTAGTTCTTTCCGAATGGATTTGTTCTATCGATAATAGTGTATATGTGAATATAGAACAAATTGAGTAGCAGGTATGTCTTAACGTATCAATCTATATATAATTTTTATTAGCTGAAAAATAAATTAACGAAGCAAAGCATAACAATTAGAAACCCTGTGATTGCAAATAGTTGAAATAAAAAAAACGTCATCGACCGGTACTGTAGATCAAATAGAAAAAAATCGGAAAGATGCTGAACGAGGATGACAGCTAAAAGATGTTGTTTCATTATAATGATGACCAATTATA